AGCAGTGAATGTTTGAATTCATTTGAAAATCACTGCTCTCCTTTCTCTGGAAGTGACTGACAAGAAGCAAAGGCTTTTGTGGGCTTTTGAAGGTTCACTTTATATGAAGTTCCACGTATAAATAGTTTATGAAGGGTTAATAAGTGATTAATAAATGTTCTAAACATGCTACTGATGAGGAATACTACACGTTATATAGAGGATTAGAAGCACATCACTTGAAGATGTTATAGATCATTATAAACTATGGTTATAAATAACCTGTTGGACTCTAACAATTGAGTAACAGTTTAGTAAAACAATTATCCAATAGTTCATTAACATAACCAATACAGTTCCATACCAGTTTCTCACTCTGTATGGTTGAAATCATCCCTGATAATTAAATGGGCCCCTCTTTCCCAGCCAGTGTGTATTGTATTTCCTACGTGCAGGGTAGTTGTAGCCATGTCAGTTGCATTAAAAAGACAAGGTGGGTGACATAACATCTTTTACTCGATCAAATTCTATTGCCGAGTGAGATGCCAACAGACAGAAGTTGGCCCAATTAAAGATCTTACCTCACCCATCTTTGTCTCTTGACTATATTTCATAGCACAGAATCTTAGAACTGGAAGCGACCTCGCGAGGTTATTAAGTATAGTTCATTCATGACAGGACCAAGCCCCATCTGACCCACTCCTGACAGAGGTTTGTCTAACCTACTCTTAAACATTTCCAGCGTTGAAGATTCCACAACCTCCCTAGGCAATTTATTTCAGTGCTTAACCACCCTGACAGTAAAGAAGTTTTTCCTGACGTTCAGCCTAAGCTGCCCTTGCTGCAATTTTAGCCCATAGGTTCTTCTCCTTGACCTCTGAGGATAGGACAATTTTTCTCCCTCCTCCTAGTAAAACCCTTTTAGGTACTTGAAATCATGTCCCCTCTCAGTCTTCTCTTTTCCAAGCTAAGTAAGCCCAATTCTTTCAGTCTTCCCTCATAGGTCATGTTTTGTAGACCTTTAATCAGTTTTGTTGCTTTTCTCTGGACCCTCTCCAATTTTACAACATCTTTCTTGAAATGCGGTGCCCAGAATGAGACACAATACTCCAACTGAAGCCTAATCAGCACAGGGTAGAGCGGAAGAATGACTTCTCATGTCTTGCTCACAACAATCCTGTTAATGCATCCCGGAATCATGTTTGCTTTTTTTGTAACAGTGTCACACTGGTAACTCCTATTTAGCTTATGGTCCACTATGACCCCTAGATCCCTTTCTGCCGTACTCCTTCCTAGACAGTCGCTTCCCATTCTGTATGTGTGAAACTGATTGTTCCTTCCTAAGTGGAGCACTTCGCATTTGTCCTTTTGTCCATTTCTCCAGTTTGTCCAGGTTATTTGAATTATGACCCTATCCTCCAAAGCAGTCGCAGCCCCTCCCAGCTTGGTATCATCTGCAAATTTAATAAGTGTATTCTCTATGCCAATATCTGAATTGTTCATGAAGATATTGAACAGAACTGGTCCCAAAACAGAATTCCTTAATTACTTCCTCTATTATCTTCCCTGGCACAGAAGTTAAACTAACTGGTCTGCAATTTCCTAAATTATTCTTATTTCCCTTTTTATAGATGGGCACTATATTTGCCCTTTTCTAGTCTTCCGGAATCTCTTCCGACTTCCATGATTTTTCAGAGATGATAGCGAAAGGCTCAGATACCTCCTCTATCAGCTCCTTGAGTATTCTAGGATGCATTTCATCAGGCCCTAGTGACTTGCAGACATCTAACTTTTCTAAGTAATTTTTGACTTCTTTTTTTATTTTATCATCTAAACCTATGCCATTTCCACTACCGCTTACTATGTCAGGCACCCTGCCACCATCAGTCTTCTTGACAAAAACCAAAACAGTCATTAAGAATTTCTGCCATTTCCAGGTTTCCCCCTTCACTGAGCAATGGGCCTATCCTGTCCTTAATCTTCCCCTTGCTTCTAATATACTTGTAGAATGTCATCTTGTTATCCTTTATGTCTCTAGCTATATTGAGCTCGTTTTGTGCCTTTGCCTTTCTAATCTTGCCTCGGCATACTTGCATTGTTTGCTCATATTCATCCTTTGTAATTTGACCTAATTTCCACTTTTTACAGGACTCTTTTTTGGTTTTCAGATCACGTAAGATCTCCTGGTTAAGCCTCGGTGATCTCTTGCCATACTTTCTATCTTTCCTATGCAGTAATATCCCTTTAAAGAGCCGCCGGCTCTCTTCAGTTGTTTTTCCTCTTAGTCTTGCTTCCCATAGGATCTTACCTACAAGCTCTCGGAGTATACTAAAATCTGCCTTCCTGAAACCCATTGTTTCTGTTTTGCTGTTCTCCTACCATTCCTGAGAATCACAAATGCTAGGATTTCATGATCACTTTCACCCAAGTAGTTGCAAAGAATTCAGCTTCTCCTTTATATTCGAGTTAGAAACCGCAATTAATAAATTATTCCAAATACGACTGATTTTATAAGACCATTCATTCTATTGTAGTACTTGGTGGCACCTTTAAAGATGTGTTAGGCCAGAAAGAGTGGAATTCCTGGATTCATGATAACGTGGGATGTGTTTCAAAATACTGAGGTTTCAGACAGAAGTTTTTCCTGTAATATCAGTGTTGACAACAATTCCCCATTTGTAAGAGCCTGTAGGGCTGGAAACTGGGAGGCTCTGGGCTGCTACCACCTCCGCACTGCCACTGGAGGCTTAGCTGGGGCTCCCAAAGGGGATCCTAAGAGGTGGCGGTTGGCAGGAAGTATGATCCATCTGGAGCTGAGTGGCAGCCCCTCAAAGTGATTGGCTAATATCAGTATTTAAACCAGGAAGCTATGAAGGGGAGCGGTCAGAGCAATACCACAGGCTGTCCACACCTCTCTGCTCCACATCCTGCATGCAATTGTCCCTGGACTCTGGCTTTCAACCCTGGTTGGTCTTAGGTTTCACTCCTCAAAAGTTGTCTGTAACCTGGCGCCCAATCCCAATCCCCTGGTAACCTGATCCTGCCTGCCTCCTGCCCTGACCACTAGGTATGTCTGCCCATGTCCCAGTCATTACATCACTGTTCCCTCCCCAGAACGGGGTGATTTTAACAGGCATAATAAAGGATAAGCGATCTAAAGCTGTTATACCTGCCCTGAATTCCCATTAATGAGACACTTCTAGCTTCTGTGCTGAAACACAAAGGAAAGGGTCATGGATTCATACCAAACTGCATGAATGTGGAGGAAAGGCCCAGGTTGATATCTGACAAGCTAGAATAAGAGTTACAAAAAATGGAAATCACGTCACAACAGCTGTGTCTGCACAGCACTCATCCCGATCCTGACTGGGATCCTCAGACACTTCTGTAACACAAGCAGCAGCAGCAGCACGACTGGCTATGCTGCTGTATCTACTACATCTTTTGATGGGTTAAACAAAACCTACTTAAGCATTTCATGTCATTCATCCATATGGTGTCTGAAATGCAGACACAGAATGTTAAGACTCAAACTGTTATGTGTCACATCAGCCCTCTAAAGCTTGAAGTACAACATCTCTCTGAACTGCTAGAGAAGGGTTTGGTATGTTGGGGACTAGACTGTTTACGTCAATAAAAATATACTAAAAATGCTGCACGTGGTTGAAGCCAGCACCAAAATACTTGGTTTTGTTTATTATTTATCAGTAAAGCTGCAGAAAATTACTGGAGTCTTACATCCTAGACCTTATCTTTAGTGCATAAAAGAATCATCACACAGCAACTCATGCACCAGTCCATCCACTAATGAGGCAAAAGCTCAAAGGATGAGAAACCGAAACGTGGCTGTTGTTCATGACATTTACATACAGAGTCCACTTTTCTAGACACCCAACACAGGAGCGACAAGCCCTGAAAAAGTGATTCTTTAGTGAAGCCAAAGAGGCTGTAAGAGAAGTTACATGAATGAACCAAGGAATCCCCAATGTAACTGGAGTTCGATACAAAGAACAGTAGTTAAAGGAGACTCGATCCAGGCATGCTGCTGGGGTGAACACTTCGAAGCAAGCAGGAAAAGGAAAAGGATCAGAAGAGGTTTTCAAAAACTACAGGGTGGGTTCACAAAAATGGGAGGTTCAACATGCCTGTCTGCTCAATCATTTTATTTGGAAAGATGTTTCAAAATGGGCTGAGGTACAAAGAATAGGGTTTTAATAGAAACAGCCTTTAAAATCCCACTTCATCACAAAGCACCACAAGAGCGTGCAGGGCAGTGCACAGCACAGAGGACAAACCTGCAAGCAGACGGCAATTCGCCGTCTTCCTGTTAGTTGTTCAAGGAATGCAGCTCCTACCTCAGAACCCTGCCTCCTGCTGCCTCAGTCCTGTGAACAAAAGTAACACTTCCCGGTCCCTCTACCACCACCTAGCCACAGGTACCTTCTTTAAGACACAGCCATCACCCTCCCGGGACTCTCAGGCTCAGGTCCACAGAAACAAACTTGGCTCACAAAATGGTGCACTGCTGAGAAAAATTCCACCAGGACGGCAGTATAAAAGTGAGGGAAAGATGGAGGGCATGAAAGTTCAGCTGAGAGGTAAAGAAATTGGCTACAAAAAGAAACAGGTCAGAGATGGTTAATACATAGAACTGAACTTAGGATCTGGTGTGCTAATTAGAATGTAATGATAAATTCTAGTCAGAATAAACCTAGTTCCCTGTTCCACTTTTGCAGTGATTCTAAAGGAGCATGAAACACAAATACACGTGTCACTAAAAACTACTGAACACATACACATCTGTGGAAGTAAATTCTTTGTCGTCTGATTATTACAGCAAATTCATTTTCAGTTAACCAGATACTGAAGGATGTAAATATTAAATGCATCAGCTTTACTTCTAAAATGTGCATTTCAATAATAATTTGGCTTTGGCAAACTGACAAGTTTGTCATAAAATCAAAATGAAACTTATGGAAACCATCAAGAAGGTTTAAAGACCGCACAGGAAGTAGTAAAAAACCCAACCCCCCCCCCCCCCCCCGAAAAACATAGCCTTATAATGAAGTATTTAAAACAAATAACTTTCTCATGATGGAAAAGTGTTACTGCACTGCACAGAGACAGAGCCCAGACAATCTCAGGCACACAGAATTTAAATGATATTGTAATGGTCCAAGTATGGGATGCATCTCCAAATCACCTATTTTAACCAGAGGTACAGCATTTGTGTGCCATTTCCTCACGCAAGTCTTACAGTAAGTGAAATGTGCACATGACATTTGTGGGGATAATTCACAAACCTAAAGGAAATTCTCTCTCCTAAAACAGATTAGCCAAGAAGTCTATACAACAGAAGTGACTTTACAATGCCTACTAGAAGTCAGCTATAATGTCCTGAATTCTTCCTTTTCAGTTTAGTTACAAGCAACCCAATGGCCTACGTTCTCCCATCCTGTTTCAGCTCCAGAAGCAACACCACAGCAAATGAAATGTATGTTTCAGAAAGTGTGATAAAAATTAATACTTTATCACCACATAAAACAGGTTGAATATTAAATATATAAAATGATGCATAATGATACGACTGAAAGAGAAACAAGGCAAAAACAAATTCAAATGTTATGACACATCAGTCTCACCTTTGAATTTCTTGGCATTTGTCTGTCAAGTGTATTATTTAAACAGTTTTTCTATAAATGTTTAATATACATATTTATAAAATGGCTTAAATTAAGGCATCATCCAGTTGGTTGAAGTGTCCAACACAAGCATCTCTGTCACTCTGCATGGCTAAGGGCTGGTTCAGCTCCCCTCAGTGAGAGCAACGTAGCCCATAAAGGAGAAGAAGAAATAAAACAGGTGAACTCTCTTTTGTACCGTTTAAACATGTTGCATTCAGTTCACCTGAAAGCCAAATCTGACCCACTAAAGACGTTAGGACTCAGAAAACCTTTCAAGAAACTCACCATCATTTCAGCCAGAGTTGAGTCAACTTGGCAGACAGAGCCCAGTTAAGGTCATCAAGGCTTAGACAGAAGCTGGCAAACTTCTGAACCCACAGTGTACTTTTACAGAAAGCTTCTAATATTCTGGAAAATGAATATTGTCCACTGAGCATGAAAGAGTAGAGAGAAAGTGGTTACAGTCTAAAAGACACAGCATAAACTTTCAGAAGGCTTACTCTCAGAAAGGAAAACAGAAACAGAATAATCATGTAGAGCTGCCAGCTGAAAGCCTTTCAAAACTTGATCCAAAAGGCCAATGGGCACTTACTATTAATGCATTTCTTTGGGTCCACTGAGAGTCTACTCTTGAAAGTGCCACACTATATGGTCTTGCAAGACTTCTGCTCTCAGAAGAACAATATTTATTGAGTGGCAGAGAGATGGCCACCCCATTGAGTTGATTATATTCTATTTCCAGGATATTAACAGGTTCCCAAAAACCTTGTTAATTACATTTCAAATGCCAGGTTTTAAAAAAATTGATTGGAATGTTTATAATTAAAGAATGTGCATGTCTTTGAAATAAATCAAATGGTCCTGATCAGTACATTCTCCAACAGAAGAGATTCAACACAATATTTATCATTTACAAAAGTTAGTCTGATGACTTTGCCCCTCTGCATGTGCAACACAGATGTGCAAGGAGCAAGTCAGGTTACACAAGAGAGGCCCATATTCTGGATGCTGAAAAGCAGTGCTGGCAATTTAAGGGCAGTTGCACCTAATCTGGATAAAGCTGAATAGACTGAAGTCTCCCTAAACTTCATTGTGTAGCTGTAGCTCTCCCGTGTCATGGTAGGGCCTGTATTCTGCAGTGCTAGCACAAATGAAGGTGGCTGTGACCTCCTTCTAGAACCCTGCAGGTCAAACTTAGACCAATCCTAGGACAAAAACAAAAGCTGACGTGAGGCAGCTGACCAGTTATAAAGAGGCTGAAAAGCACAAACAGCTGCACCACCACAGGCCTGCTTTAGAGAATGTCACACTTTTCTTCAGCAATAGATTCAATCTACATGACACAGTTTTCTCCGCAGAGCTATGGTGGCTAACCGAGTGAACCCCTCCTTGCAGTCAACAGCAGCATGCCAAATGTAACTGCAGCTGTGGCAACAGAAGAGTGCTACAGAATTTAGCTCAGTGGGGCACAGTGAACAGTCTGGAGAATTGGTGTCCCTTCGCTAGCAGAAAAAGTCTTCTGTTGGCATATGCTGCATTTACACTAAAGATTTTTGTACAGCACTGTCAGCCAAATATCTGTAATGCAGACAAACCCACAGAAATAAAAATGATAGTGAGAGAGTCAGAGAAACCAGCTGAACTTCCAGTATCAGTGTTAGTCCCTGAAGTCTTCAACAGACCATTCTGACGGACAACTAAGCTGTGCAGAATGTTACTATTTTTGATCAGATGTATCTAGCAATTAAGGGACTGGGATGCTTTTCAAAACAAAACAAAGCATCAAAGATACGTGTAGTAATCTTGCCTACTGTGTATTATTCTTCAAGATCCACTGAGTAAACATTTTCTTTCAAAGACAGCCCCTAGAATTCATAGGAGTGCTTACAGTGCTTCCTGTAGATCCATGCATCCTGCCTTTCAATCTATAGTATCAGCCAACCTGGGCACCTGGAACTGGAAAAAAATGTTGAGAAGAGAGATGCATTTCATGCACCATGGAAAAACAAATCCTTTTAGAGGGCTGGTAATTTAGCCAGTTCTCAGCATTTCTTGAGAGTGTCAGTTTATCCTAAACCATTCACTTGCAGCAATGGCTTTTACAAGCAGAAATTTAAAAGTCTCAAGGAGAGAAAATTCTACAAAACTACAGTATTTCTCTCTGCTTAGCTCTGTAGAAGACTTGTCCGATGCTTTTCCTCCACATTAGTCTACACTACGCAAAAGCAGCACAACAGCCACACAAGCCCAGAGTACTGGATAAGTCAAAATTCTCAATATTACCCTGGCATAATGAAACAGGAAAGGTAAAAGGCATCCAACTAATAAAATGATCATGGAAATTCATACATTAGAGAATCTTTGTAAAGCACCATATTTCAGAAAGCTGTTTGAAATGTATAGTTGTATCTGAAGTCCAAGGTAGAATATTCTTGCACTTGATCAGATTTCCAGCGAGGTTCCTCAATGAACGTGAACACTGCTCAACCAGCCTACTGACTGGTTTTCTGGTTTTGCACGGGGAAGTTTGGAGTTGGGGAGAAGGAAAAGTGGTTTCCTATTTTATCCTCTAGGCTGGCTGGGTCTTTTCTACTCTTAGGTTCTTGCTTTCAGGATCATCCTTGTTCTGACTGCTTTCTTGTTGGATCTGTGGGATGGGAATTTGTGGTTGGTCTGTTTGCAAGCTGGGACTGGTCAGCTCCTTGGTACCCAAGTGAGGCTGCTCTTCTGCACACACGGAGGGGTTATTTTGATCATCTGCATGGAGTGTGGGGTTGGTCATTTGTTGTTTTGATTCTTGTTGAGATGCTGGTGCATTCATATCTTTGGGGGGGTTGGGGCAGCTGACAGGGGCCAGCACCAATGGAGGATGAGGTAGGTCTTTCTGAAAATAAATAAATAAATAAAATTAGGATGATGTGTCAGGAAAACAAGAACCACTATTGCTACTAAGGGCTTACTAGAAAACCACAGCAGCTCAAAATGTGCTCGTTTTTATACGAGAACCATCGTTTTGCTGAATGGCCAACAGCAATCACACAGTGACCTCTTGGTGGAGTTAAACGAAGCGAAGCACACTGAACGAAGGATGACTTCTGGAGCAACTTCAGTTAATTCAAATCATCCCTAATGGCTGAAAAAGTTGCACATCTATTCTCTGGACAGGTCCCACTGAGGCGCATACACAGTGGGAGAATGGTCTCTGCCAGAACCTAATTAAATGTTTAAAGTCTATCAGCTTTTTTAACGTTATCTCTAACTGACTTGGGAAGCTCTCTCTGCTCTCTTCCTGTTTACCTGTAATGACACAGTTGCTGCCAATCCCCACTAATAATAAAGAACAGCTGGCACTTTCCTGGCCAGGTCACCAGATCGCAAAGTATTTCAACATTAAGTAAGCTTCACAAGTTCCCTAAAACAATTCACTCTCCTTTTCCAATTGAGGGCTGATGTACAGGAAGTGTTAAGTGATGACCCAATGTCACGGTGTCCCAGAGATGAGGAATTAATGCCCCACTCTGAGCTCTACCCATTAGGTCCTATCTCTAACTTCTTCTTTCTACTGGACAGCAATGACACTTAAGGGTACATACCCAACCCAGCTAACATCCCAAACCTCTGGATCACTGAAGCCATTTGTTCTAGTTGCTTTACTAGTGATTTACCCTGGTCTTCCCCGATCAGGTGTCTCTAACAGGCTACCTGTAAGATGGCCTGTTGGGTTTTTTCCTCACAGTGTTTCATTTTTTTCTATTTGCATCCTGAGAGCTTAGTTTGGTTCCTGTAGTATGTTCTCTTAAATAGAAAGTGATTCTCCTCATTTCTCCCACTGTCTTCACTTCTGTATAAGCTACTCCTATCTGAACTGCTGTTCGGTTTGTACTTTTAATTCCAACAAGCTTCTTCCAACCTGAAGGACAAGCTTCCCATGCATTGTCAACTCAAACACCACCTGCCTATTACCTGCGTGCCTGGCATTTACGTAGACCAGCGATGGGCAAAGCCCAATCCATAGTAAACATTAACCTCAATGTAGAGCAGGGGTGGGGAACCTAAGGCCCAGGGGCTGGATACGGCCCCTGGCTTGCCTGGAACTGGCCCCCGAGGCTTGGGGTTGGCGCCCCTCCCCCCCCAGCATTGGGGAGCCCGCACTGGCATTCCAGCCCTCTCCCCTGGCAACCCCTGGTGGGGCTGGAGCACACAAAATCTACTAGCCTGGGCCCCCCCAGGCTCTGGTGTGTGAGGGAAATGTGGGGAGGGTCTTTCTGCCTCTCAGGGGCCACATGAGTGAGGTTTGTTTCTTTGTTTGTTTCTCACTTGTGTGAGGCCCCCAAGTGAATTTTCTGTGCATCAGGGGCCCCAACCCTAAAAAGGTTTCCCACATCTGAAGTAGAGGATTTGGAGAGTAGCAAACCATCTTTAGCTGAACACGCAGGTTCAACTGATCTTCTGAGGATGTTAGTGACTGCATTCTTTTAGACAAATCAGCAGCAGTTTTGCTCTCAACAAGTTTCCAATGTGGCCCTCAGCTATGAACAATTTGGCCATCAATGGGGTACAGATCCAAGATACAAACTGGGTATCAGCAGGATCAACTGAAGAGGTTCTTTTCATTCCACAGTGTATCTTTATGATTACTCACTTTCTTCCCATTTTCATGCCTTGAACTGCCTACAGAATAAGGTGGCTATCTTTTAAAAATAATAATAATGTTTTGAGTGAGGCTTGGGTATACACTTCAAAATGTTGCCAGTATAACTGTGTCAACTTGGTAGATGAAAAAAAAAAAAAAAAAAAAATCACAACTTTAGCTGACAAATGCTCACTATGCTGGGAAAAGCCTTAGTGTAGACACATTATACAGAAAACTCATTTTAGCCAGGGAACTGGTATAAGCTATTCCAGCAAAAGAACTCCCGTCAGTATAAGCTACGTTTCCACTGGGTGGGTTTGCCAGTAGAGTTACAGTGATACAGTTATGTCGGCCAACCCTCTCTAGTACAGACAAGGCCTGAATAGATCACGAAACACTGATCAATTGACTAACATTCACTCTGAACAAAAGAACTGCTTTGATACTGGACTTTTTTTGACACTCTGAACACTAAACTCTCATTCTCTGGACAGGGTTTCCTGATGAACACACAATAAATTACATTTTATAATGCCAATACATTTTGAATAAGAAAGAATAGTAGCTCTAAAACAAACAAATCCACAAATATTTTGACTTAAGGGAAAACCCAAGATATTTCTGGTGTCCTGAAAGAAGCTTGTGGGGCATCCTGTGAAAAACCAAATCTCTTTGTGCAGAATCAGGTATTAGTTTGCTGCATCTTTACCCTTATATTAAATACCTATTCAATGAATTATCCCTTACTATGAGGTACCTACTCCATTCATAATGGATGCATTTAACTTGCAACAAAGAATTTAACAGATCAGCCTAAAGGTGACAGTTCAAGATTCTAAATTAATTCCCTACCTCCTTTTGTTAAATTCTTCACACTCATAGAAGTTACAATGAATAAAATGTACAATAAAGCTAAGTTAACTACCAAGATTTAGACAACAGGATCAGTGTGCAGAGATAGGGACTGGTCAGTTTTAGTGGCTACAAACAATTAAAGCAGAAAATTCTGAGATTCATATTATACAATTACTAAAAGTCTTTAAAAGACTCTTTAGAACCAAAACATGAACATTAAATAAATGCAAAACACCAAGTTCTTTGTTTAGTTGGATAGTACTACAATATTTTACTCAACTTTAATTCTATTTAGGTTTTATAATATTAGTATTTCTTGAAGACACTCATATCAAACTGGTATTCACCGCAAAGCCGCTGCCCGTCCAGAACATTGTAAGCTCCTTTCGCCAAAGAGCCACAGTAAAACTAGTGAGCAGCGTACAGGGCACCAAGTAGAGCAGAGCTGGCTGGCCCTTCTGCATCAACGCCAAGGCTACAAAGGTCACCAGAAGGCCAATGCCATATGCTAAAAGGAGAGAACAATAACAAAAGAAAATTATTCAGATACAGTTCTGATAAAAAATGGCAGCACAGTTAACTAGAAGAAACATTCTAACGATTCAGCTAGTATAGGGGTTGGCAGCCTCTGGTGCATGGCACCTCAGGGTAGCCCACTGGTGGACTGCCAGACATTTTGTTTACATTAATCATCCAACAGACATGGCCTCTGCAACTGCCAGCGGGTGCGGTTCACCGTTCCCAGGCAATGGGAGCTGTGGGAAGTGGTGGCCAATATGTCCCTGAAGCTCACGCCACTTCCCGCAGCTCCCATTGGCTGGGAATGGCGCATTGCAGCTACTGGGAGCTGCGTGGGGGCCGTGTTGTCCTTGTGGACAGTTAACGTAAACAAAAGGTCTCGTGGCCCACCAGCGGATTGCCCTGAGGGGCCATGTGCTGACAGCTTCTGGGCCCTGCGTTAGTAGTATGAAGCTCGTTTTATAGCGCTATTCAGGCTTCCCTAAATACCACCATTCTGTGTCCAGTGGTCGTTCAGGATTATCCTTTGCTTAACAAGGAAAGATCATTTGCTGGACTACGAGATGCTGTCTTTCAGTGAAACAAGACAAAAACAAGACTGACCCAACTGTTCAGTATTTATGGAATAATTAACTCTGTATCTAGATCAATTTTATAAAGACAGAATAAATTAATGAAACATTTTATTAAATCACTTGAATTTTAAAAAAATAATCACAAACGCCCTTGTATTTAAACCACACAGTATTTTAATAAAAACAAATAAATGATGTCTGCCCATTATAACTAGCATGTCTTGTGATCTGGAAGCACTTGGCTTTTCACACAGGTTCCAAGGCATCACTGGAACATCATTAAACAAATACCTAGGCGTGTGTTTAAGATGGGGGTATGCCAGGCCTTTTGTGGCCCCCTGCTGGAGGTCTTGCAACCCTACTACATCCTGCTTCAGGACCCAGTGAAAATGGGTCTCCAGGCCTGCCTACACAGAAGCAGCCAATCAATCATTTTTGAGGCACTCTGCCCTCTCCTGGCATAGCGTGCCTTTACCAGATGTGCAACTCCAACACAATGCTTCTAGTGTAGACCTGCCCTCAGTGGTGACACAAACTGGACTTTTAAAAGAGAGCTAGCAGTATCTCCACAATTTCATTTAATTTTATAGAATCAATTAGATTTTTTGCAGGGGCACGGTGTAAGTCTGAAGTCAAAAGGAAAATGCTCGGCTTGAATTCTCTCATGTAATCTAAAAGGTTCACTAACATGCACACTACAACGATAAGAAAGAATAAGAGTATCCCAAACATACATAAAGCCACTGTAATTCAACCAAAGGCTTCTGATGAGGGTATAAAGCATAACCAAGAGCTAACTTTCTAGTTTGGACAGACAAAGCAGCTCAACCCTGTGTTATGTATATTGCTTTTGATTTATTTGTTTTAAATTGCTTCACTCCCAACTGTTGAAAGTGAGATCAGAGCAGAAAGCAAGCTGGGTGATAGAGAGCTCTGGCTTTGCTTGTGCAGGGATCGACTGCACCAGCGGCTGTGCAGAAATAACAGCTTCATACATACCTATAGTGCAGGCTACAAAATAGATTCGGGAGGATTGCACCTGAATATCAAACCGATGGCAGTAGGCTACCAGCAAGCCTAGGAGAAAAAAGGAAAGTAGTAAACTTAAAACATGTATACATGATTCAAAAATGAGTGAATCAATTTTGGTGAAAGGGGAGAACCCTCCCTAATAATTTTGAATTAAAACCAGCAGAAGTTTCAGACCAATGAAACTGAAAGGCAACACATTTAAATTTCAAAGAGGATTTTGAAAAAGTACACAGAACTCAATTATCCTGTGGATATAGTGAAACAAGACCTCATTGAGGCTAAAAGTTAACACAATTAAAAGATTAGCTATCAAGTTTCATTAGATAGTGTACAAAATTTAAGAATATCAACATTCATGATTTAGGACACAAACCGACCATCACCTGCATCCCTTTAAATTTCTTGACTTTCCTTCATGCACAAATGTCATACTAACACCAAATTAATGTAAGTTCTTCTCATTTAACCTGTCTGTTAAGAAAAGCAAGCGGAGCAGAGCCAAAGGGAAAACATGTATGTTTATGAATACATTAGCTTAGGGAGGGTCAGGTTACGAGTACCACTTGGAATGGAATTTAAGGAGAGGGGTCACGTTCCATAATAACTTTTCTTTCTGCACCATATTGCTTAGGCAAACAATTTCAGAAATACCTGGAACTAAGATGTCTCCAAATCCTAGCAGGGAAAAAGGCCTATCACAAAGAGCCAACGGTGAGGAGTTCAGTCTTGGAACCTTCAGGACCATGGGGAGCTTGGAAAGGAGAGAAAACATGTTTCATGAAGTAGAAAGGTTTCACCCATCTTCCAGCAGTAGAAAATACACGGCCCTCTTGTCATGCTGGACATGCAGACTTTAAACAGATGATACCTACACATGTATTATACTGAAAAGTATTATCTAAGCAGTATTTTTCATTTTACTGAGCTCCCTCAAACAGAGTGGATTGACTAAAATCACCAGTTTTTAAGTGAGCAAGCAGACAATCTTGCTTTAATTCACTGATTTTAATCCTATTTGTATTTTGTAATTATTTTCCTAAAGTAAAGCTGGTTCACAATGGTTCATATAATTTGCTTGGGTTTTTTTGCTAACCAGGAGGATAAATAAATATGTATACATACATGGTAAGAATTAAATTGCTTAACATATATCTCTTCAGATTCTTGAATTTTACATTTATTATTATGCTAGAAAATGGTGACTAATGCACTTATTTATTACAGACTGAACCTCTCTAGTTCGGCACCCTCAGGACCTGACTGTTGCCAAACCAGAGAATTTGCCGAACCACGGTATTGTTTAGCAGCATCACCAACACTTCCACTGCTTACTAGGCTCTTAGAAGACATTTAGGGGCAAATTAGAGTTAAATAACAGGACAGAATACAGAGAGCCAGGACTGGTGGCTGTAAAAAACTTTATGGGACCATGGGAAACTTGGCCATACTCATGATAACTAAAATCATGCTGGACCAAAGTGTGCCAAACTAGAGAGGTTCAACCTGTAGATGATTGTTTTTTAAACTTGGAATGCATGTCAAGCCCCATTTGTTGTAAAATTGGAATTCAATTAATAATCAGAAAATCCCCAAGTATTTTAAATATGTTTAACTAGTTACAGAAAACTACCTCAAATGTGCTGGATATAAGAGTTTACTTTTCTTAACAAAACATGTTTTACATTTAAAACTAACTCATTTATTAAACATAGGAAGTATTATGTTTATACAGTTCTTGCAAACACGGTACAAAAATGTCCCTGCACTGAAATCTTACAATTCAAGATGTGGTAAGATTGGACCTACTGTACGAAGTTACTTAAAATTATGCTTCTGAGACTGCTGTGGATTCCCATGGAGCAATTCAGTGCTTTGTAGTTCCACTCCAAATGCTTTTGAAACGACCAGCCCTAAAAGCACTAGGCCATTTCAGCAGCTCTTTGTGGTCTGACCCTTTCAGAAGTTGAAAGCCTCAGAGGTTAATAGCTGGGAGTTAGTCTCATATTTTCAAAACGCAGACAAGTACCTTTTCATGAGTGGCAGAGTCAGTCGGGCCCGTAGCCACCTCCACCATTATACTCTGACCTGACTAAAGAAAAGAGGGCAAACTGTAAGTCAGCATGTTGGGATAATTTAAGGACACACACAAAAATATCCTGTTGCATTACAGTCTATTCTAAACAGCAGACAGTACAGACACACTGTACATACCTTTGTTATATAAGGTGTGATGAAAACAAAGAACACATCATACACAAAAAGAACCGTCAGGAGCAAGGTGCAACCCTGGGAGAAAGATAAGAACTTTAACGAATATTTTATGTTCTTTGTGCTAGCTATTGGAAATAAATTCACAGCTGGTTCCAGAGTATTTCATTTCCAAGAACCATCCAATATACCCACATAGTTCCCTGAATTCAACTCTGCACAGATATGTTACAAGGAAAGATGTGTCTCTGCACACAATGTCTGTTATCCTTTTGACCATCCCTGCCATGAAATATTTTGATTTGTTAGGAATTGTGGGAAGCTCTGGAGGATGGATTCTTCTAGACAGCAGCAGCAGGTATCTCATTATTGTGACCATGCAAAACAACTGTCAAAGACCCAGCATGGACCAAAATCAAGTTGCTCATTGAGAAATTCTTCTATGGCGCTCGCTTGCAGTATGAGATGGAGAGACCAATCTGACCCAAAATGAACAGTTGGGGCACACAAACATTCCATGTGAGGCAGAGGAAAGTCAAGAGCTGAGAGAGTTCCCAATTCAGAGGTGTGGGACCCATAAAAAACAAAGCATATCCCACCCCCATTGCGTGTTTATGTAGCCCAAAGAATGAGAATGTTGCCAAGATACAAAAGTGCAATACAGAGGGAATCAGCATCACAGAGAACTGAAAGCTCCAATAACTAATTTTACAGAAACTTACAGATATGGGGGGGCCCCCCCAAGGGAAGAACATTTAGGCGGGGCTGCACTGTGAACCGATGGAGTCGCTTTTCTGTTCTCCTTCAGATGCTCTTCTAAGAGCACCAGTCTGAGACCTAACACACAATGCTGGGGCCATCCTCATCAGACATCCGTCTGGATAGATAACCCAGCAGCCTCAACAGGTACAAACCTAACTCTGCTTCTGTGCTTGGCAGGTCAAGTTCCAATAGAAATACTCTGGCCCTACAAGCACCTTTCTGTGTCCATGACTTGGAAAGCTGTGGAAGAGCCCCAAGTGGGAACCCTGATCACTGGTGGAGAGGCCACAAATGCATTTTGTTCTTCCCCTTTGCCCTGTTCCCTCATGGACTCTCCTTTCTCTTACATTTAATTACTCCTGAGGGCGTTCTGCACCAAAATACTAGCCATTCTGCATACATTTTAAAATTCTGCACTGTTATTTGTTAAATAAATGGGGGCGCCAGCACAGCATTGGGGAGAATGTGTCACTGGCTGCACAGAGCTTGAAGATCACTGGTCAGCTCCCCCAGATACTGACTCAGCAGTGGGGCTGCACCCAACCCTAACAGAGCACAAGGACCAGGCCTGCCCCCAAAACACCTCGGAGCCCTGCCCCTCCATGGCAGGAGCAGCAGTGCGGGCAGGCAGGCTCAGCAAAGCAGGATCCAAGTGTGGAGAGGCTAGTGTGGGGCCCCTCCCCCGCCATGGCAGGAGCAGCAGTGCGGGCAGGCAGGCTCAGCAAAGCAGGATCCAAGTGTGGAGAGGCTAGTGTGGGGGGAGCTGGGTGTGGATAGCCCAGTGAGGGGATCTGGATGTCCAGAGGCTCATTGGGAGGTTCTGGGTGCAGCAGTAATAAGACTCTGGATCCCCACCCCACTAAGCCTTACTCCCCCAACCTCTCATTGAGCCCCCTCACACCCAGAGCCCCCTGAAGAGCTCTAGCCACACTCATTCTTCCCTCTCTGAGCTCCCATCACCTTCACCTGGATCCCCCCTCTCCATAGGAGCTGCTGGATTCCAAGTGTGGGGAGAAGCTCCTTGAGGAGGTCTAGGGGAGGCTTGGCAGGAAGGTTTGGGTATGAGGTGGTCTGGATGCACGGGGGTTGGATGGATGGGGGAAGCAGCTCCCTGTACAGCCATCCCTCTTCCTGCAGCTGAGGCACGATGGGTGGAGGAAGCATGCAGGGGGAGTTTGCAAAATTTCTAAAGCTGGGGGAGAAATGTGGGGTGGGGTCTGACAGCCCAGGTGCTCTGCGGGACAATAAGTCCAATCCTCCTCAATCCAGTTGGGACTAGTAGCTGAGCCTGGCACAGATAGAAGCGACTAGCTGGGTGTTCCCCAGACCCATCTCCTCCCCTACAGCAATCTACCTCTCTGCTCGCTACCCCAGCACTCAAACATACTGCTGGGAGGTTGGTCACCACTCTGTTGGCTTCCCTTTGCCTCACCATCAGAAAATCATTTTTCTGCAGGAAAGCAAAGTAATCTGCGGGGAAAATAAATTCCACATATGCACAAAAGTCAGCCAGGAGTAACATGTATATGACAGTAGTTGGTGATTTCAGATAGGGACTATTTTTGGTAAGCAGCGAGCTCTCTACTGGATGAGAAGTTACCAACCTTGTGCAAGCCATTTGATTTCTGAAATATCTTTGTCCACATTATATGCTATTTAAATTTCCTCCCAATCAATCCTCACACAACACCAGTTAAAATCAGAAATGTGTTTCCATATAAACATGTGAAATCAAAACCTGCCCTTTTTTAATCCCATGTCTGAGCAGGTTATTTTGACACGTGCGCAGTTTCTGTACCTTGAATGTAGGGAGTCGGATTGTTTTCAACATGTAAAGGCAGAAGGCAATTCCCAGAGCATCTTGCAGAACCCATGCCCATCTAGAGAGACAAGAATGTTACTTTTCTGCAGCAGGCACAAGAAGAGCTAATCCAAACAGGCTCTCTCAACCAGGTTAGGAATAGTCACTCACCACCCATTTGGGCAAAGGAGGCACTAAATAGACACGTTATTTGTGCTGACTTTCTCTCTCTTTTGAATTAACCTGTATAATAAACTTAGAAACCAGAGATGGATATAAAATGTAATAGCTAGTGCCTCACCTGTTATGACAATAAGGATAATTTTAGTCCTTAGACACAAACTAAGAATGACTGTTAAAAGATCAGAGCGCATATTTCAGTAACTTAAGTTAGTGTCTTTGTGAAAGGTATTCGTGGTTGCAGTGCTATTGAAGTATAATTTATATAGTCAGCTATTACATCATAGTGTGTATATAAAATGCATTTCTGATGTCAAGCTGGGGTATTTCATGTACTTCTATTTGATACAGCCTAGAAAATAACTTTTAAATTTCTGTGTAGATTTAATCGAAATTTAATTTTGCAAATTTACCTGCAGACCTATTAGCAAGGAAGTTAACAACCGTAAGAATAAAAAGGCCATTGTGTAATAAAAGGTACTTTGTTAATTTATTTTGGCAGATAATATTCAGCTTTATTTATTTCTTACCAGTAAATGTGCTTCAGTACTGAATTCTTAGAAACATGAGACACCACAACATCCCCCTATTTGCTGAGAAGTAGGCAGAGACCACAGGGTATTTTGTGGCCTGTCAATTAGCTGAGTTACAGTTTATGAGGTTCTGCTGTATGTCCTAACTGAGAAAATTTAAAACAAGCTGCTCAAAAGTTTGCCACTATTAAAAAGAATGTGAACTGTTATCTACTGCAAACTATATTGAGGTAAGTTACACTGTGCCTTATCTTGGCTGCTCTGCACGTTGTAAAGGCTTACATTGTTACAGAGAGCCAAATATTTTCATTATATCTGATCAAATCAGTTCAGTTAATGTTCCAATTTTCAAGGTAGCCAAGAAGAATTTTACACTGGGGGAAAAAAGCCAGCTGTGTGTCCCCATAGAAATGGCAGACGGCATCACTGCTATCAGCAAACATACGCTGATTAGTCTCTTCTTGCTTCGAGTTTCTACAGCCAGAACAGATTAAAGAAGCCTCTCTTGGATCCCCTCTCTAGTACAGGTTATAAACCAGAACAACTAAAAATGTGATTTTAAATGGAGTTAGTTAAAACCAGCACAAACCTCTGTGGGGACATTCTTGCATGTCAATCTGGCTTACACCACTTCAAGTGCCTGAGGAACAGACTTAAGGGAAATGGCTACCTGTCAGGTTGAAATTGATTTAAGAGTGCCCACTGAAGAGATGTCTACACAGCAAAGAAAAACCTGCAGCAGGCTTGTGTCAGCCAACTTGGGCTCATGAGGCTCAGGCCATGAAGGTCTTTCCTTGCTGTACAGATTCCCCATGCCCAGAAGTCTACATAGCAATGAAACAGACCTGCAGCCCATCCCTGATGATCCTGAGTTGACTAGCACAGGCATCTGCAGGTGTCTAGCTGCTGTGCAGACGCACCAGAGAGGTTTGCAGTGCTTTAACTCAGTGCCTCTCAACCTTTCCAGACTACTTTCAGGAATCAGATTTGTCTTGCATACCCCAAATTTCACCTCCCTTACAAATGACATGCTTTTACAGGAGTGTGGAAGTATTTTGAAGGGCAAGACAGTTGAAGTGATCACCTGACTCCAGAGCAGGAATTACTAATGTGAGAGTATCAATCCTGAACTACCAATTGCATATGAAGGTGTTGAGTTTCCTCAGGTCCACAATGGGTTGACAATCTCCCTTTTCCTTTGGGATAAGGACATATTTTCTGTAGAACCCTTTCCTCCATACTGAAGAGGGACTTCCTTGATCGCTATGAGAGAACACAGCAAAGAGGGCTTTCTGATGTAGAGGTCCTTGTAAGAAGGGTTCCTAAAAAGGGGTTGGGGGAAAGGAATTAGGCACTGAAAATAACTGGAAGGTATATCCAGATGTTACTATCTCTATAGCCCACCAATCTTTGGTGATGTGAGACCATACATATCTGAATTGGGTTAAATGATTTTCAAAGGGAGGAGATCTACATGTTTGGAGTCAGTGGAGTTGGTCTATACCTCTTTTTAAGCCATATGGCCTTTTGGTCAAATAAATCTGATTTCTTTGGCTCTTGTTCTCTTGACATGGACCTGGACTATCTGGTTTTTTTGCTGGCTGCCATAACTACAAGGAAGATGAGTCCCGGGTAGGTATAAAAATTCCACACCATTGGGAGCCACTAGCTAATTTCTGTCTGACATGCAAGAGGAAGGGGCCACTGTGGCCAGTGTTTGCTACAGAACTCTGGCCAGGTCCATGATAGTCCTTCAGTCAATAAGGTTACCTCCTATCCTCCCTGTTGATGTAGCCTGCAGAATGTCCTCCAGTTTCATCCTCTTGAAAACTTCAGGAATCCTTTAAAATCCTTCATCTTTAGGACAGCATGGGAAATTAAAAACAGGACCACAAAAGGGCCACTGGCTCTCCTCCCATCTCCACTGCATCCTCCTCCTTCACCCAAGGGAGAATTGGGGAGGTTGCTGGGTGATCTGTATGGCTGGGGCAGTTGAGGAAGCAGCCTTGAAGCGGTACAGTCTGTCCCACTAGCTTGGCGGTACTTGGTATTGCGGGACATGGGCTTGGTGGCCAAGGGGCTGGAAACTCTGGCTTGCGGCTCTGAGGGGTCCCATGCCTCCCTCAGAAAAAGTGCCTCAAACGTCTATCAGGGCAAGGCCTGGGGAGAGTCCCGGGTGAACAGATGTTGGCTGTTGGTATCTTCCATGCCCGCAACTGCTGAAGAAAAAGCACAGTCCAGTTCCATGGCTGGTGTCAGCCTCAGCATCTACGCCACTGGCCAAAGAACTACTCCACACTGCACGGCAGGAGGGTTTGGCAGAGACAGCTACATCTACGCCGAGCACAGGGGAGAAGAGGCTCAAGCTGTAGGATACCCTAATGGTGATGAGGAGTGCAGGTAGCATGGCCATGTCACGCAGAGCCGAGTCTTCCCTGTCAGTGTTGGCATGGCTACCAGAGACAGACGTGATGTCCTGCCATGCAGTACTAAGCGCTGTGGGGTTGAAGCATACTTTGCCAGCAGAGCAGAAGAGGTGACTATGGCCAAGCTTCTAGGGGAGTAGGGAGCCTTAGATCTGTTCTAGACAATCCTGGCATGTCACTACTGGTGTAGAACTGAGTTTGATGGGAATTACATAGTGCCATAAAACCTCAGAAGCCATTTGTAGCCAAGGGATGGACTTGTGCTTTGAGGAAGCATAGGTACAGATCTTCCTCTTGGGATCTCACACCCTGAGGCTTGTTTGTTGACGGTCTCCTTGTCTTCAGAGCTAAAGCCGGAGTGGCCAGAGCCAGGACTTTGGGGTAGAGAGTCCACATTCATGCTCTTAGGCTCTGAAGGCCCTGCAATACCCACTCCTGCACCGCTTTTTGCCTTTTATGCTGTTCCCACATGCAAAACCCTTAGATACCACAAAGCCAGAGAAATTATTTTTTGCCCACCCAATCCTGCCCACAAAATAGAACATTTTACTCACTCCCACTACTCTGGAAGCAGGTCCTGTGGGACCTGCGGGGTCCCAGTCCAACGGTAGACCCTAATGTACAGATCCTGCTGGCCAAAAGGCTCTGAATTTGAGTGCATGAGGCACCTGGGTACAGTTAACAGAACTTGCATATAGACAGGAACTCGAAGGAGAATGAGTAGTTGAGCGATCTATACCAAATGAGTAATGCTTTCATAAAGAGCCCAGATGATCCATTCCTAACAACCGCCAGGAGCCACATAGCCAGATCATGGACCAGTCCTATATCCCTGTCCAGCACAGAGACTGGAGGGGGAAATTCCACCCAGCAGAGGAACATATCACCTATTTCCATTCCCATTCTGGAAGGCTTAGGCCCTGCAAAATGTAAGTCTATTTGGGACCCCAATGGCACCAAAAGATGCAGTGCCTATGAAAACCTGGGCTTAGTGGCAGGTACAGCTTTATGGACCATGGGTCAGTGAGCTCAGAGTGCAGTGCAGAGATAAAGTGCTCAGTCCCTGGAAGGGGCGGTTGACAATTTCTAGCTGCCTACATTGTGTAGCCCCTCCTCCCTCCCTCCACACAGGCTTCTGAGGGGGCTGTTAACTTGGTCTTTTGGGTGACACAATGTAGTCAGTGTTGCAGTGTGGCAGGTAAAGCCTTTACTTACTGATCTTCATTCCTGAAGACTCCCCAGACCACACTAACGGAGATACAAAACACAGCCAGAAGCAACATCCGAACCTGCGGACGCTTGTGAAAATATGGCAAGTTGTTGTCAGGGATCCTGAAAGTGGAACACATAGTGTGTAAACATTAACAGACAAAGGGACTATCAAAAGCACGTTAGGTAACTCTTTTCACAACACACAAGCATAACGGAAAACAACCACTCAGACCTTCTCCAGCTTCTTCGCATAACTACCCCTTTTCAGTTTAGCATTTTTAATTATACAGCAACAATCCAAGTCTAACTCTGATTTAACGCTAAAGGGAAGGATCACACAATCTAAGACTTCATGAAACACATTTTTGCCTTAAAAATGTATGCAAATAGTCAAATACCTGCATTTCCCCAATGGGAATCTTCTTACAAAGGGAGACAGACAACTGTAGAGACCAATGGAGGCAGCCAGGCAGAAAATCCCTATAATAACATAGACTGAAAGAACAACATGAATCAGTGAGGGTCACTCATGTCTCAACCACATGGCTCCACAGAGCCCCAAACTGGAGAACACAAACCCATTTTTAAAAGGGTATTAACAGCCACCACTGCTATCTAGTGGGATTATTCAGGTAAATAAAATGTTGCTTTTCATGCAAGGAAACAGCAGCTGACGTGGGGAGGCAGGGTAGAGGCTGTTTACAGTTTTGTAGCTAAACAGTTGAATTCTTCAGGGGATTCTAAAATATTGCTACTTGCACCCTCAGTTTCTTACTTCTCAAAGACTGTTCAATTCCACCTAACTCATCCTGTCACTTGCCCATTTGCTGTTATGCAACAGATTTTATTGAGTTCAGTGAATAGGTAACAAGCTGTATCTTGCAAATATTTAGCAATCGCACTAGATTACACCAAACATGGACCAACATTCACCACTTTATCTACAGTGACTAGATGAATATGTGACCATTAAACGGGGGTTTGTTAATCAGTTTTATTAATATGTTGACCTAACAGGATTTTCTGACTCCATTCCTTACAAAAAGATGGGGCATAAAAATTACCGTATTTTCCAGCGTATAAGACGACTGGGCGTATAAGACTACCCCCTAATTTTCCAGTTAAAACATAGGTTTTGGCCTATACTCGCCGTATAAGACTACCCCCCCTTCCGAGGCAACACCATTTAATAACATCAGATTTGATTTATCGTACTTGCGCGCCCGGGGCCCGGCGCTCCCCGCGCCCGGTGCCAGCCCCGAGCACTGTGTTGGGGACCAGTATCAGCACAGGTACGTTCTATATCCGGCGTATAAGATGACCCCCGATTTTTGGGGGATGTTTTTTAGTGTAAAAAGTCGTCTTATACGCCGGAAAATACGGTATGTTGCTCTACAAACCCTTCAATGGCTATTACCTGGAACTCACTTCATAACAAACTTTCAAGCAGTGTTTCCAGGTTCCTTTCTGAAGTGATCACATAATTTAAGAATAATTTACTAAATTACATAATAAATGTATTACTCATAAAATTTGATGCTGCTTTCCATGATTTAATAACATTAAACTGACTAACAGAACTCAGATTACACATTTCAGTTACAGAATCATCTCCAGGCACAACCAAGAGCATGGAGCACTTCCTCACAACACCAGCAATAGATTTTACCCAGGAATTTCTGCAGCAAGCCTACGACTCGTGATTAAGCTAGAGTAGGTATTTTGGAAAGATACACCCACACTGAAAAAAAAATTAAGTAATGAGGAATCCATCATGCCCCTACTTAAATGATTTCAATTACTATGTTTCAAAAACAAGCCTTATTTCTTTCCTAAATCAATTTCACTTCAGTTTCCAAACACTGAATCTTATTTTGCTTTTGTCTGATACATTAAAGAGCTCTCTACTATCAGAAATCTTGTCCCCTGATAGGTATTTCTAGACTGTGATCAAATAATAAGCTTCTCTTTGATAAGCTAAACAGAGCTTCTTCAGCCATTAACTGAACATGGCTTCTTAAACTTAATCTCTAGGGGTATGTCTACACTACAAAATTAATTTGAAATAAACAGTAGTTATTTCGAATTAACTTTAATAGCATCTACACAGGCAAACCGCTACGTAGAAATAAATCCGAAATAGTGGAGTCCTTATTTCAAATTTGGTAAACCTCATTCTACAAGGAGTAACACCAAATTTGAAATTGCTATTTCGAATGAAGTACTGTGCAGACACTTAATTCGAAATCGGGGGCCTTCAGCCCTTCCTAGGGAGCCCGGGTGGCCACTCTGGGCACAACCAGGAAAGCTTACTCTCCTCTCTCCCAGCCCCGGAGCCATTAAAGGGGTAGACCCTGGCCACAGTGTCTGTGCCAGCTCCAAGCCTGCCAGCCCAGAGCCAGCAGTGGCCACCGGGGCCCCTGACCCAGTGGCCCCAAAACATGAGCCATCAAGCCACTGGCAGACAGCCCTCTACCACTCCCCAGGAGCAGTCTGCCAGCTCCCAGGAGCCTGCCAGGGGCTGGAGAAGGCGGGTGCCTTCCTGGTCCAGGATGGAGATCATGGACTTTATTCAGGTTTGGGGAGGATGCCCCCAACATCCATGAACTCCGCACTAGATGGAGGAACGCGGCCGTGTAAGGCAGGATAGTTGCCAGCCTGGCCACCAAAGGCCACATGCGAACCCAGGAGCAGGTTAGCATGAAAGTCAGGTTGGTCCGGCAAGACCCCCAACGCTGAGCCCTGAGCTTCCCCTCCCCCTTCTTCCCCTTGCTTTCCCCTTCCAGATTTCCCCCTCCCCTCTTCCACCCTCTCTCTCTTCCCCTCCCACCTCCTTTTCCCAGTCTCCCCAGAGGTTCACCCCCCCCCCTCCAGTTTTGTTCAATAAACCCAGTTTCTATTATTGAACATACGTGTTTTTTATTTGACATCAGGAAGGGGGGCTAGGAAGAGGTAAGTGGAAGGACATGAGGGAGGAATGGGGCACGAGCCCCCGGTGGGGAGGACCGGGGAGGCTCTGAGGGCTTCCCGGGGTGGACGCTCTCCCTCAGGGCCTCCTGGATCCTGACAGCCCCCTGATGGACCCCCCCCAGATAGCAGCCTGCAGCAAGTGCAGCTGGGCGGATGGCAACGACCCCACGAAACGCACCAGGGGCAGCTATGGCTCCATGTGGCTGAGGGCTGTGGTGTCCCGAGTGCAGGCACTCAAGGCACTCCAAGACAGGGCTGCTTTGCTGTCCCTCATAGAGGTAGACAAGCAAGCGGGGAACCCTGAGAACTGTCTGTCCGGGGTGGGGGTAGGGTCCCTTTAAGCACGGATCTCAATTAGCCTCAGACAGCAGCCCCACACACTAAGTCCTAACCTGATGCCCTGCCGGCACTGGTTCTGGCCAGCCTTAACTTTGGTTCAGAGTCCACTCAGTGTGGACGTGCTAGTTCAAAATAGCAAAATGCTATTTTGAAATAGTTTGTGAATAGATGCATTATTTCGAATTAGCTTAATTCGAATTAACTATTTCAAATTAAGTTAATTCGAAATAGCACTGTAGTGTAGACATACTAGTAGACCAGATACTAGTAGACCAGACCTAGGCACATGATAACCCTTGGAAACCTTGCACTGACGAGGAGGATGTGTCAACACCCTCGAGGTTCTTCTTCCATCTCAGTTTCTATGATTATTACGGAAGTAGGAAGTTCTAGTCTTTCCGCAAGATCATATCTGCGGAGCCAGTCATTCTTCACAGAGGCGCTGGAAAGTACTCCCGAGGGAATTCTTCATCAAAAAATTAAAAATTCTGCGCTCATTTTAAAATTCTGCTAATTGCACTTGTCAATAAAGCACTGTGGGGACTTGCTTTCCCTTCAGAAAATCATTTGTGGGGAAGCAAAGAAATCTGCAAAGGACATGAACTGTGTGTGTGAGCCATGGCGAAGGATTTACCCTAGGAGCAAAAAAAAAGGGGGAAATGCAAGATTACGTTAAAAAACCCTGCTGCTGCAAACATCTTTGGGCTACATTTTGGGCTTAACTACTCCAGAGGTTCCTTTAGAAGAGAAAAAAAAATCCAGTTTTTTGCTTACAAGATAAAATTATTCAACAAATCTAAATCAGCATCTGTTCCTGAAAGGTTAACTAAAATATAGATAACTTCAGCTCATACACTACATCTTTTCTGACCATTGGATGCCATGGATTCAAAGCTGAAGACCACATTCATGGGATAGCAAATGTGCTGAGACACACTACACCAGCCATTAAACATTTTAATTCAGAAACTGATCTCTAACAGGCATTCCTACTCTAAGAAGTGCAAATTAAGGTTTCATGTCTATTATACATCAATAAGAGTACAGCCTCTCCCTGAGTTACGAACGAGTTACAGACCAAACACTTAGCTGTAACTCGATCTGTTCGTAACTCGGACCCCATTGAGTTACATAGCGACCGTGCTGTTCGTAAGCGTGCGTCGCGTTCGTAATTCAGGGACCGCCTTTACAACCGCTCCATGGGAGCTTTGGTTGTAAATGTGAAGTCGTAATTCGACCATTCGCAACTCGGGGACTGGCTGTAGATCAATTTTTCCTCAGGTTAGAAGTTATTTGAGAGTAATGGCTTCCTTTCCCGCTGACACCAGTTGCAATGTCATTCACTTCAATGGGGCTACAGAAGGGAAACCGATAGATGAATTTGGCCCTGCAATTGGAATGATCCCATCGATTCACAAGCTAGATGAGAATACAGTTCACCCTCAAAGAGATGTGCAAATCTGTCAGAGCAATCCAAAGTAGTAAAAAGCATACGTGGCACTAGAATAAGGAGATGAGATTCTAAACAAAGGAAAGAACCTAACCTGTTTCTGATATTGTAGCCATTTTTACAATCACTTTTCAAACAATGCATGCACTTTAAGGGGACAAGAAACACAGAATACTAGGACTGGAAGGGACCTCGAGAGGTCATCAAGTCTAGTCCCTTCCCTCACGCCAAGCACCATCTAGAATTAGATCATGCCTGACAGATGTCTATCCAACCTGCTCTTAAATATCTCCACTGATGAAGATTTCACAACCACCGGAGGCAATTTATATCAGTGTTTAACCACCCCGACAGTTAGACAGCTTTTCCTCATGTTCAACCTAAACCTCCCTTGCTGCGGTTTAAGCCCATTGCTTCTTGTCCTGACCTCAGAGGACAAGGAGAACAATTTTTCCTCCCTCCTCCTTGTAGCATCCTTTTAGAGAGCTGTTTTCAAGTTCAAGTATGTCCCCTCTCAGTCTTCTCTTTTCTAAACTAAACAAGCCCAAGTCTTTCAGTCTTCCCTCATCGCTCATGTTTTCTAGACCTTTAATCATTCTTGTTGCTCTTCTCTGGACCTTCTCCAATTTCTCCACATCTTTCCTGAAATGTGGTGCCCAGAACTGGACACAAGTCTCCAACTGAGGCCTAATCAGAACAGAGTAGAGTGGAAGAATGACTTCTTGTGTCTTGTCACCATGCTCCTGTTAATGCACCCCAGAATCGTGTTTGCTTATTTCACAACAGTGTCACACTGCTGACTCATATTTAGCTTGTGGTCCACTATGCCATTAGATCCCTTTCTGCCGGACTCCTTCCCAGACAGTCGCTTCCCATTCTGTATGTGTGAAACTGATTGTTCCTTCTTAAGTGGAGTACTTTACATTTGTCCTTATTAAACTTCATCCTCTTTACCTCAAACCATTTCTCTAGTTTGTCCAGATCATTTTGAATTATGACCCAGTCCTCCAAAGCAGCTGCAACCCCTCCCAGCTTGGTATCATCTGCAAACTTAATAATCATACTCTCTATGCCATTATCTAAATCGTTGATTAAGATAATGAACATAACTGGTCCTAAAACAGACCCTGAGGAACCCCACTTGTTCTGCCCTTCAAGCATGAATCTGAACCGTTAACAACCACTACTTGATAATGTATAGCATAAAATAATTTTTACAGAAATACAATAAAAAGCACCTAAGTCATCATAGAAGAAATAAAGAAGGACCAGCATAGAGCAGCACATCACCACAAATATACAGATCATGATGGGAGTGACATCAACTGTTTCGTCGTCATGTTTTTCTGCCCCATCATCACGTTTGTGCTTCATGTATCGCCTGAAAGAGAGCAGCATGTCGATAATCAGATCCTGCCGTGAACAGACAAGGCCTCTAATCCTTGATGGGGCACAGCACAGGAAGGGGACCATGGCAGGAAGAGGATGAGAACAGGGCAAAACCCGTGCCTTCATGGATTCCTACTGAAGTCAACGGAGCGCCACCAATGGCTCTACCTATGCAGTATCAAGGCTTAGAATACATGTGCGCCTAATGGATAATGTACCATGTATAAAAATCTGTCTCGATTTTATCATTAGTATTAGTTCCAATCTACTACTACTAATGAAGAGAAATCAGAAAAGCTATCATGGAATAAGTCGTTACAGGAAACGCCCGACTTCCGACCACCCAAGTTATGACTCCCTGAGCTTACAAAAATGGTTGTAAGTGCGGAAGGGGCCGAAAGCCCCCAACTTATGTCTTCGGCCCGCACGGCGCCTATCATAAATGAGGGTTCGAGTACGAAACCCCTGACGCTTCCCCAGGAACCAATCGTGTCCCAAGTCGGGGGCGCCTGTACTAATGTGGATAAAGTCCTCAACAAGTCAGGTGATAGCTAAACTAACCGTTACAATTTCAGCAATGGGTCTCAATGAACAGTGTTTAAAAAATGAAGTCTTATATATATTTATTTTAGAGATCTGTGCCTATCTGTGAGTCTATTTGTTCAAGAACCCCTCCTAACTGGTAAGCATGCCAGGACCACTAAATTTTCTAGGCAGCTTCCTCTTATCGTTACTTAAAGCAAGGTCAGGGTTTGGTTGTGTCAGGACAATAGGATGTGCCTGGAATTCTATAGTTTTCCATAACATGGAAAGGGAGAGGTCTGACTGGATGGACAGCTATACTACAGAGCGACCACCAGGAGCAGCAGGAGTGGGGGGCAGCAGAGTGATCATGGGGGGTGGCAGCACAAGGAAGGCAGCAGCCAGCTGGGACCAAGGCTCAACTTTTTGCTGGCCACCGACCCAGGTAAGTGGCGCCTCTGTCTTAAATCCCTCTCCCCAGGTCCCTGCGGGCTTCCCGACACCTCCCTTAGAAGCCACACCTGGAGTGTGCCATGCCATTCCAGGCGAGGGGAGTGCTCCTGGGCCGGCCTAAATGGCTCCCTCTGCCCACCCCAGCCCCAGGGAAAAGCTGTTAGGGCCAGGGAAGCTTACACACCTTGTCAAAGGACAAGCCCTGTGTTGAGTGAGGTGCACACCTTTCTCCCTGGGCCAGCTCTGAGGAGAAGCCAGCAGGCAGGGTGTGCAGTCCCCAGCACCCTAAGAAACCAGCCCCCATACTCTTCCTTGAGCTTCCTCTCACCCCAACCCCCTGCCCTGACAGCTGTACACCCACCCCCTGCTCTGAGCCCCTCTTCAATCCCCCATTCTGACTATTGCACCCCCTATACCCAGCTGTAAAGGAGCAAAGGCAAAGTCTTCAAGTATTTAATATTTTAAAACATGAAGCTGCTCAACAGATACTGTAAAACATTCACATTTTAGTCAACATTTGATTAAAATATTGTTATATTTCTTGCACTAAAATGATCACTGAGTGGATAAATAAATCCCTCCCTAAATGAAATTATACTAGAAAGAAAACAAGAGTCATGTAACATATTTTGTATGAACAAAAAAACACCAATAAAAGCCTAAAGGAGCCTTCACAGAGGCTCAGGTAGGAAGGCTAATATTGCCACTGGTTTCTTCTTTAACATTTTAAAAACCTGCTCCAAGTTTTTTCTTTGTCTATTAAGGTACCAAAACACAGAAGTGCAAGTTCTTTAGCAGCACCTCCAAAGGTCATTGCTTCTAGAACTGTCACTTCATTCCAGATTCACAGGCACCCCCACACGCCTTGGCCTTCTCAGAATCAAATTCTTTGGCCCATACATGGCCAGCAGGGCCCTCCATTTGCTCTACTTACTTTTTCACATCTCTGCTTCCTGCCCAATAGCCTCCAATTGCAACCGTGCCCACAGCCATTACGAAGATAATCACCATGTTATAGTCAAGAACAGGTTCATTTGGCGCATACATTGCCACCTTCACCGATTCGCCAAAACTCTGCAAAGGAAACATGAACATTACAAACTGCTTAGTGTTGCAGCCTCATCAGAATCAACTATTTCTTTAAAGCCAATAAGATAATGTCTAGTGATCTCGGAGGGTGAAAGTTTCTGCACTCATACTTCATATTGATGTTGACAGCTCCAGTGTTTGGGGAGAGATACTGAACATAATCTTTGCTATCTGGTATAGTTCTTGCTTTTAGTACTCCCACTGACTTTGTATTTTCCATCCTGTAATGTCCACTTGGTGCTAGCTGTTTTGTAGAAGGAAGAGTTTGTCTGTGTGAAAACTCCGTAGCCATGTGTTAATGTGCTCTATTTGCTTAAGGCCAGCACTTGTAAAACAGAATGAGCATCCTAGCTCCTACTGTGTTTGAGTTGGGGAAACACAGAAATTATAATGTGAAACCTGGAGGGTGTTATTGCACTTTCACAGAAATATTCATTTTAAAATATCCGTAACAGCCATCAGCCACTTGATGTTTCTCTTCCCTTTGTATTTTCAGTGCTGTGTCAATTACATTCGCTATCTGCATGACTTTATTACTTATTTTTACTATTCACATTAGCGTGTGACTTATAACTAGCAGCAAGTGACTAGTGCTTAGGACCTCATTCCAGTAACAGTGATTAGTGGTCTCCTAAATAAAAAAAAAAGTAAATTCTTGTGTCAAAACAAAATGTTTAATTTTATGTTTCACAAAACATAACAAAATGGACTATACATATACTTTTTTTGCAAATATAGAAGATACTAAAGTTATTTTCCATGTGTGTCAAGCTAAGAGACATTTAATTTTAAGCATAAAGTATAAAAATTTCTTCACTTCATGCATCAATACTAATAATTAAATATTTGGTTTCTGTGTCAAGAAAATGAACAAATTTTGTTTTATGCCTCAAAGGAACAGATACAGATAAGATACCAAATGGCTACTGAACATTTTGCAGTATTTATTTGTATTTGATTTCACATTAAACAAACCTTTGAAATTGTGCACCTTGTTAATTATCCCTTATTTTAAAGTATATTCTTCTTTTACTAGTGAAAGTGTGTGTGTGTGTGTGCGTTGTGGTGTGGGGTGTGGGGTGTGTGTGTGTGTGTGTGTGTGTGTGTGTGTGTGTGTCTCTCTCCCTCTCCGTCTCCCTCTCTCAGGTCTCCTCTACCTCCTGCCTCTCTCGGGGGACTGCGGAGCCCAAACAGCCGTTTGGGCTCCGCACTCTCCATGCTGCATGGGGAGTGTGAAGCCCAAACGGTCACGTGTGCCACTTGCTCCCATGCAGCTGAGCGGTGCAAAAGTCAGCCGAACACCATGGTGGGAGGCGAAAGGGGGCAGGGCGGTGACGTTCATTGCCAGAGGGCGGGGCCTGGAGCCACTGTCACACCGCATGTCACCGCCTCCCGCTGTGGTGCTAGGCTGACTTCTGCCCCACTCAGCCAGGCTGCCACAGGGGAGTAAGCGGTGCAAGCGGCTGTTTGGACCCCATAGGCCCCATGCAGCACGGGCTTCCCAGAGGGAACAGCCAGCATTTCAGGCAACAGCGCCGTCCAGAGGGAACAGCCAGCATTTCAGTGTTACAGACTCTCAGACACTGGCTACTATATATATGATAACATTAACTATATCTTATTAATAGGGGGAGGGATAGCTCAGCGGTTTGAGCATTGACCTACTAAGCCCAGGGCTGTGAGTTCAATCTTTGAGGGGGCCATTTAGGGAAAAAAATCTGTCAGGGATGGTACTTGGTCCTGCTGTGAAGGCAGGGGATTTAACTTGAGGTCCCTTCCAGTTCTGTGAGATAGGTATATTTCCATATTATATTATATAGCTAGGATTTTTGCTGGTAACTGGCAGGTGCCGCAGTGGCACACAAGTGCACATGACTACTCACTCTATTCATGGATTGGGAAACCGAGGGGGAACACTGATACTGACAGCTGCACCAGACACATAGGTACTGGTGGCTCAGCCAAAACTGACGTGCCCTACAGTTGCTCTCTTTGCTGATGGAGGGTACCAGTAGAGCCATGGTTTTCCTTGGAGCTTGGTAAGCATGTCACAGCCCAACTCAACTAGTGGAGGAGTGCTTGGCCTCAATAGTAAGCTCCAAGACCACAGGCTTGGTCCAGGACCTGATCCTTTTTGGAGCAGGCTCTTTGGTGTGAGTCTCCTCCCTCCTCTTTGGGGGAGTCTTCACAGAAGACTCCAAAGCCTTCCATGAGGGTCTGTCTGGGGATCTACAGGGATGTGTCCTGACCTGGTTTGGCCACAGCTTGTATTACATTAACAGTCTTTGCTTGATCTTCCTTGTCCTAGACTGGAGGGCCAAGCAGATGTTGCACTTCTGGGAGACGTGGGTTACCCCCAAGCAATGGTTGCACATAGGGTGGCTGCTGTTTACAGAAATAGCCTCTCAACGGAGGCAGTGTTTCAAATCTGATGAGCCAGACACACCCTGCTAGGAAAGCAAGTTTTCCAGAGGAAAAAGCAGGAGGAGAACAACCAACCTCCATATTATCTATAGTAACTAAACTGATAACTAGCCACCACTACACTGAACATCTTATCGCTAAGGGAAAACAGAAAGGCTGAGGCATGCTCAAGATGGACACACTAAGGCTCCATCTCCAGCCAAGGTGTTGGGAAGGAACCGAGGGTGGTTTGGTGTCGGGCATGAAGAGGCTTAGAGGGTAGACATGGGCCAAATGGACCATGCTGGCGCAAAGCTGGCAATGAAGTGATCCAGAGGTGCACATGCAGCTCAACTGGATCACTCACAGAGACACCGTCCAAAGAAGAATAGAAGTTAGCATAGCATAGTGAAATACTAAATTGGAAAGGCCGAGGTGCCCGAGAGGCCCTGCTTCCTGAGTCCTGGGCTGGGTTTACTGCAGAGAACCAGGATGGCTTCCTAGATGTTTACCCTGAAGAGATTCTGGCTTTCCATGGAAAGCTCTTCACTGCCCTCTTCATTCTCCTTTAATGACTCGTGTCACGTATCCATGGAAAAGGGGAACTCAGAGTCCACAACTTCCTTGGATTCCGTAGTGATGTAGCTACTCTCAGTCCTGTTCAGCTCCTCAAAAAAAAATGGAGAAGTTACATTTCCATGGCCAGTCTGCTTCCTAACACCCTCGGCTTTAGCATAAGTCCTCTTGCGCTGTTGACTCTGGCACTGGTCAGCAATCCAACAGCAAGCACTTGTGGACCTCTGACTAGCGCTATCCACAAACACGTCTTTATTTCAGTGGCTGCCCCCCCAGGGCTTCTCCCCAGATGGTAAGCTGATCTAGGATCTGAAGCAACTCCTTCAGGCATGTCGTAAAGGTTGCTGGATTGATATTGCTGCAGAGCCAATATACAGGAATTAAGGAGAAAATGGACCAATCCTGCCATGTGCCGAGTTTTAGTTAGGAGGAGAGGACATCCAGTCAACTTGATCCCAGAGCAGTGGAGGGCATACAGTAAACACACAGATGCCTGCAACACTCAGCAGAAGCCCACAAAACAGCGTGATTTAGCAGTTGGAGCATTGGCAAAGTAGTGTGCAGCAGCATTGTGTGCACATGAACTGAGCACTCTAACTCAACTTGCATCAAACTTAGAGAGAGGAGGTCAGAGTTTGCAATAAATGCAAGTGGGGGCATACTCATGAATCACATTGCGTGTATTTTCACAGCAGAGTAACTCGACTAACATGAGCTAAATCCCCCATGCAGACAAGCCTATTAACTCAAAACCTTACTACAAATATTTGAGAACAAGGAGCCGGTTTTACTTATTCCCGGTATGTGTGTCAAGCAGCAAGGTGTTCTAAATCTCACCATCTCTAAATCGCAGTGCCAGTTGGATTTCATACTGAAGATGCAGCATAAATCTCTGTGTGGATACTTACGACGGAAAAAAATAAGTGTACTGCTTTCCAGGAACCATTCACGCACTGAGAAAAGGACCCACCATAAAAAGCTTGTAAAATGTACTGCAAACATACCACTGAGGCATGCCACATTCCCGATGGCGTAAGCGAAAGTGTTTGGCGTAGGGCTTACCTTTCCAATGTCTAACATGTCCGTGTAGCTAAGCAGAGCCACGGGAATGTCAATCTCTTCATACTGACTCCAGTTACCTTTAGGGGGACCCTGAAAGTCAGAACAGAGGTCTTTGTAGAGCTGGCTGTATTTAGCAGAGATAATCATTTCTAATCATCGGAGGAGTTCTTGAAAGGAACTAGACAGAAAAAGCTTTTTTACCCAGCATGTTGGGGAATGGGGATGCCAGTAAGTAGAAAATGGCAGTAAATTAAGAGGGAGGGAGTTCGGGTGCAGGGCTGGAGCATAAGAGCAGGATGTGGGGCATGGGCTATGGGAGGGAGCCTGGGTGCAGGAAGAGGCTCAGGACCGGAGGCTGGAGCTAAGGATGTACAGGCAGTCCCCGAGTTATGTGGATCCAACTTATGTCAGATCTGCAGTTACGAACGGGGTTTTTCTTGCCCCGGAGGACGGGAGCGGCGGGACGCCCAGATGCACCGCGGTCCTGCCACCCGCGTCCTCCGGGGTGAGAAAAGCTGCTCCGCGTCTCCCTGGTCTGCTGGGGGGAGGGAGACGCTGAGCAAAGCCGCGGAGCACACGGGCAGCGGGACAGCCCAGACGCGCCGCGGCTGTCTTTGCTCCCTGTCTACCTGGTCTGCTGGAGACGGGGAGCAAAGCTTTGGAGGAC